TCTATTCTGATTTTTATTATGTTTGTATAGATTTGGATGTTGATTATAATAGTAAAACCGTTGTAAAAAATCGGACTAAAAGTTTTTATTTTATAGCATTTTATGAGACAAACATGGCGGGCAAAGTGCGGCTTTGAGAAAAGTTTATAAAAAGTCACGTAGTGGGTAACGCACAACCATAATTGTGTAAATCCCAGCAACCTGACACTGTATCAAAGAATCCCTAATAAAATTGCAGCTAGTGTTGAAAGTGAGGTAAATTCCTAGCCTGTCAGCTTGGTCACTTTCACAATAGGGTTAATAAAAAGGGCTTATTCTATGATAAAAAATCAAAATTCATTCTCTCTATAATAGCATCTTCCATCCCATCAATAATTTATCAATATTGCCTGCTCCAGCCTACTGTTTAAACACGTTTTAGCCTTCAAAGCCTCATGGACTTGGCTGTTCTTGTTGACATTACACAGGAGCTGAATGTACTCAACAAGAAGTTACAGGACCAGGGGTAGCTTGTCAGTGTTGCCATTGACAATGTCAAGGCATTCTGCACAAAACTTTTATTATGATTCTTAGAGAAACCTCTGCCATTTCCCAACATGCAACGTATACTCATGGACTTGGGCACAGCCTTCAGTAGTAAGTATACAGATTCCATTGCAAAGCTACAGGAAGAATTTGATCACATGTTTTTAGACTTCAAAAAAAAGACAGAGCGACTTTTCAACTTTTTTGCTGACCATTTCTCCTTCAATTTGGAAGATGCAACCCCACCCCCCCCACGCCCGCCCCCACCCAAATTGAATTTCAAATAAAGCTAATTGATTTCAGTGCAATTCTAAGTTCAGGGAGGTGAATGGTAAAACAGACAAGCATGGAATGCGACTTTTCAACCTTTTTGCCGACCCTTTCCCCCTCAATTTGGAAGATTCAACCCCCCCCCCCCACGCACGCCCCCACCCAAATTGAATTTCAAATAAAGCTAATTGATTTCAGTGCAATTCTAAGTTCAGGGAGGTGAATGGTAAAACAGACAAGCATGGACAATTTATGAGAGCATTGCCCTCCACCTTTACTGAGATTTTCAGGTTGTTCAAGTGGATCTTGTGCCTTTTTTGGGAGTACCTATCTGTGCGAAAAGCTCTTTTCCACTATGAATTTTAACAAGTCAAAATTCAGGGCCAAACTTACTTATGAATATCTTCAAGCTATACTAAGGGTCTCAGTTGCTTCCCCACTCAAGCCAAATGTTGCTCAGCTATGTAAGAAGTAGTGCTGCCAGATCTCTGGCAACAAGGAGTAGGAGGAAGAAAGTGAAGCCTGGTTCTTGAGAACCCTTAATGATTTTGTTTGTTATTAACAAAGGTTGAGCAGATTGTAACAGTTGTACTTTATAGACTTTGTAATCACATTTTTGTGGAATACCGGTACTTGATGCGGCCCGGTCTCTGTCTCACTCAGAATCTACTGATTTGAGTTTGAGACCCCTGATATATGGAATTACTTTTAAATCTTGAGGTACATCATCAATTCATTTGTTGACATCAGTTGCCATAGACAACTGTGGAAATTTGGTTTGTAGGCTAAAACTAATTATTTCCATTATATGCAGTTATGGGTGTCTGTTAATTTTATGTTTATGTGAAGAGCTGGTTATTTCCAATTTTGTGTGCTAAAAATATTATGATCGTTTGGTTTGAGTTTGCTGAATGTATTCTTTATTGTCAAGACTGAATGTATTCTTTATTGTCAAGACTGAAGCTATTCTTTATTTTCAAGACTGAAGCTATTCTTTATTTTCAAGACTGAAGGTTTTGTCTATTGTCAAGACTGAAGATATTCTCTATTTTCAAGACTGAAGGTATTCTTTACTGTCAAGACTGAAGGTATTCTTTATTTTCAAGACTGAAGGTATTCTTTATTTTCAAGACTGAAGGTATTCTTTATTGTCAAGACTGAAGGTATTCTCTATTGTCAAGACTGAAGATATTCTCTATTTTCAAGAATGAAGGTATTCTTTACTGTCAAGACTGAAGGTATTCTATATTTTCAAGACTGAAGGTATTCTTTATTGTCAAGACTGAAGGTATTCTCTATTGTCAAGACTGAAGATATTCTCTATTTTCAAGACTGAAGGTATTCTTTATTTTCAAGACTGAAGGTATTCTTTATTTTCAAGACTGAAGCTATTCTTTATTTTCAAGACTGAAGGTATTCTTTATTGTCAAGACTGAAGGTATTCTTTATTTTCAAGACTGAAGCTATTCTTTATTTTCAAGACTGAAGGTATTCTTTATTGTCAAGACTGAAGGTATTCTTTATTGTAAAGACTGAAGCTATTCTTTATTGTCAAGACTGAAGCTATTCTTTATCATGAAGACTGAAGGTATTCTTTATTGTTTAGAATTAATGAGGCTGTAATTCTTCTAGTTATGAAATACATTTTTTTATTGAATTCAAATGGTTGAAAAAAATTCATTTTTTCTCCTGTAAGCTTTTTTTGTAATATTTGTTTAAATTTTAAAATTTATTTTAAATTGTGCAAACCTGGTCCCTTGAGGTCTAAACTGTCTTAATAATGCTTATAATTTATTTGTTTGAAGTAGTTGACATTTCCCAATGAGCAGGAACATTGTGGTCATGGGGCTAAAAATAAATATATGTTCTAAACAATATTAAAATCATTACATGGAAAGATTTGCCTGTATGAAATTATTACATGGAAAGTGTTGCCTATATGTACACACTGGATTTGTGATCTAATAGTACATCGGTCTCTACATGTTTAGTTAAATTAATGTTGGTAAAGTTTTTTATTATATTTATATTTGATCAAATGGCTTTTTCGGGATTATATTTCTACATTGTTCCTAAGATTGTTGTGTTAGCATTTATAAACATTTTGTGGATTACTTGGGCTTAATCGTTGCAATTTTTTACACGGGCCCCGGTATTTTAAGAAACGAAGTGTCTACACGTCCGGCGCGCCGGACATGTAGTGCGCAAGATACACGTCCGGCGACTTGTCACGTGACCGCCGGACATGGCCGGACGGCAAGTAGTTTTTATAATTCCAAACGTAGTACGATTTAGTACATCTTGTCTGGTCTTGTGGTAGAGTGGTTGCTTGACGATAGGAATGTTTGAGGATCTTTACCGGGGATAGGGTCGTTTTTTTTCTTCCCATTTTAATTAAAATATTTTGTATATATTTATATTATCATGTTCCTCAGCAACAGTAGTTTCATGAGAAGTATTTAAATATTTTGTAGCAATTGAAATAATTTAAAATGAAATCTTTAACTTTTATTGGTTGCCACACTGGCCCCTAATTTATTTTATGGATTACTGGTACACAAAAAATAACAAACTAAACAAAAATGTTTACAAGCCACTTTCACTTAAGTTTCTTTTTCTATTATTTGCATTCAAGATACTCAGTACATTACTTGGTAGAGAAATAGATTTTAAAATTAACAATAGTTTTGAATTATTCGCAGTCACGTGACAAGGCTGACCGACACGATATCTCTCGCCACTTTGTTACGGCGGTCATGTGACTTGGTCGCCGGACACGTAGTGCGGGAGATAGACGTCCGGCGCGCCGGACGTGTAGACACTGCCTTTAAGAAAACTCCCTTTTTCAATAATATATCTCAGCTTTTTAAGAATATTCCTACAGACAGTCCTTTAGCCCACCTGTCGCCTTTAAACAAAACCAGGCCTACACCCCACCTGCCAGCCTTTAAACAACAATCCTATAGACAGTTGTTAAGGACTTGAATGTATAGTGTGATTGCGTGTTGTTTAGAGATTATGTGTGTTGTTTTATAAATTTTTTTTTTAAGTATCTTGTGACGTATGGTGTGGAAAGGGATATGACGTATTATTGTTATCGAGTAGTGTGGTCTTTGAGTACATTAATGTAAGTTGAAGAATGGGTTCGTGAATAAAGATATTTAATATAAGAATTATAGTTGGTGTCGTGATTAAACCCCTTGACAGAACGAAGCCATAGAACCTCAGGGTAAAACGGGGTTCGTAGCAACACTCCAACAGACAGTCGTCACAGTACTGTACCATACCCAGGGCTTGTTATAGATGAAAGAATAGTCGCCCCCACACCTCATTTTTTTGTTTACCTGAGTTCACGCGTCACGTAAGACGGCCATTTTTAATGTACTCATTAATATTTATATTGAACGGGGAGATGGGGAAGGGCGGTTTCGAAAAACGAAGCCGGACACCAGAGCAGGGGTCGGGAACCTATGGCTCGCGAGCCAGATGTGGCTCTATTGATGGCCGCATCTGGCTCGCAGACAAATGTACGATTTAAAAAGAAAAGTCGCATTAATTGTAAGAAATACTCATCATTGATAAGCAACAGCATAACAATGTTATTAAAAAGAATTCAGAGACATAATTATTGCGCTTTTAATGTTGAAATTACACAAATGCACACATTTACTTCAATTTTTAGTTTTAAACATAATGTATGGCTCTCACAGAATTACTTTTCAAAATATGTGGTGTCCATGGCTCTCTCAGACAAAAAGGTTCCCGACCCCTGCACTAGAGGCATGATGTATATAAGAGAGTCTGTTAAAATCACGCATTTTATTGCTTTCTGTGTGGGTATATAAGAAAAGTCTAAATGAGTTAAGTTTGCAGTGACACCCATGACAGTAAATTTAAATAAAATGTTAAAAGATGAAAATTGTGATAACCTTGTTCATTGTGTAAACTAATTATTACCTGAGGTCAGTGTTTCCTGCGCAGAAGGCATGGCAACGTATACGACAATTAAAAAAAAATTAAATGTTCTGGCTTACTTAGAATAAAAATGATTTTAGTAATTTCTAATAATTTCTATAATTTCGGATAAAAGGTACGTTAAAAATGTGATACGGTACGAAAAAGACCTCACAACTATTTGGGTATTGTGGTTTTATCACAGAACTGTTTATTCAAATGTAAGTCTGACATTAAACGAAAACATGAAACTCCTAATAGCTATACCCAAGGGCAACCACGAGAGCTGACCTAAGGGTTAAATATTATTATGCAAGTCAATTGATAGAAATCTGTAACGCCAAGCTCAAGACAAAACTGTTTTGAAAACAACGTACGCTGCTGAAATTTTGAGTGCAGACAAAACAAAAGCAGAATCAGAATAGGAGGAATGTAATCTCCACCTCGTTGTTCAAACCACAGTATCAGAATGTCTTGACAGAAAATAATAATTTTTTTTGCTGGCATCCGTCCGTCACAATGTGACGATGGAGTGGGCTTCGGAGGACGAAATCCACATGGCCTGGGATTATACTTTAAGGATTATAAGCTGGTTCCCAACAGCAAATCGCCTCTCTCCACGCCGCTGGGTAACCCAAGGGAACATCATTGGACGACACAACTTGGCGCCAGTGACGTCGCAGGAGTTGCCGGAATGTTTCTCTGTATCAATGCCATCCGCCTTTCGGGACTCCATCTCCGGGTTTGATTTCAGAGTTTCCTTCTCTTAGATGATTTGCCAATCCAAGGTTAACGAGTCTCATCTACCCGGGGAGCTGGTGGTGTTATTGCTTGACTGGGCTCTGGCTGGAATTGAACTCCAGACCACTAACATTCGGCCACCCAGCACCCAATTATGTTTAACCTTACGAAATTCAAAGAGCGTGATGTTGAGATTTCAATGACCAGTACATGTGCGATATATGGTTTTAAAAATGCGAGATTTCATAACATACAGATTGAAAGAGATGTCACCAGGTGATAATCATCGGGCTGTTTTTCTGGCCCCAATGCTGTCAGGACCGATATTTATTGGCTTCGGTGGGCTACCGGTACTGAAAATTATTAGCTGCAGAGCGCTGCCGGTACTAAAAAGTATTGACCCCAGAGCGCTGCCGGTACTAAAAAGTATAGACTCCAGAGCGCTGCCGGTACTAAAAAGTATTGACCCCAGAGCGCTGCCGGTCCTAAAAAGTATTGACTCCAGAGCGCTGCCGGTACTAAAAAGTATTGACTCCAGAGCACTGCCGGTACTAAAAAGTATTGACCCCAGAGCGCTGCCGGTACAAAAAAGTATTGACTCCAGAGCGCTGCCGGTGTTAAGATTATGGCCAGGGGCGTTAAGTGGGTAAGAATTATCCACATATGAAGTCATCAAAAATCTAATTTAATTTAGAGTTTTACTCTAGTCATATATATACTGGTACAGACTCCTCATGAAGGCCTTACGTTGTTTTTAGTTTATTCCTAATGCAAATGCAATGGTTGGTTCAAAGTAGACGGGTTACATTTTTACTTATGTTTTTAAATTGGTTTCTCCTCAATAGGCAAATGCTGCGAACTTAAAAATTTAACACTGGAGAATTGATATTTTTTATCTCATTAAAAAAAAAAACACATTTTATTTAACTTAAAGCAAAATCTTCTTAACTTTGAATGAGTTCGGTTTCAATTCCTTTGAAGAAAATTTGCAACAATTTTCATAGTAATTTTCTTTTTTAATAGCGTTTTAAACGTCTTTAGGCTTTGGGCTACAATGCCGTATGTAAATTAAACGCTTATCACAATATTATTAAATACATTCGTGTACCGATGCTTTTTTGTGTTGACGTCGGCGCTATTTAAACAACACTTAATATTCGCTGATGTCCCAGTGCCTCATCAGCGATAGCAAACAAGTTGAGAAGTTTAGAACACTTGTCCAGCTCCATTTTAATCTCATTTTATTAATCTACCATCAATGAAAGCAACGTCCTTGTCACACACATCACCCAGGACATTGGCCCACAGCTGGTTGAGTGTCTTGGTGTTCACCACGGCTGTCAGGGCAACCCGACGGTTCCAGACGACTTCACAATCGTAGATCAGCCTACAGCAGACGGCGAAACTCGGGGCGCCCAAGCGTGGAATGCCGGAAATTTTCGGTAATATCCCCGTTATGTAGGCGTCTTCCGGTGCGATTATTCGCGCGTACTTTGACTTGTCCAGAAGCTCACCAACACCAAGTCTGCTAATGGCATAGGTGTGTCCGTACAAGTAATGTGGGTAGTAGTCCAAGGGGTATTCTTCCTTGCTGACAGCCCATTTCCCGTGTCTCGCCACCACGGGTTGCCTGTACGCGTGCCTGAGCCCTAAAACGTATTTTCCAGTCCGCTCTTCCTGGCGGACGCGGAGGAGTAACTCCGTCATCAGGGGGGCATTGATGAACGTGTCCTCGTCAACTTTGAGCAGGAACTCAGCCCGAGGACAGAACGACGTCATCCACCTTAAGCCCGACAGTATTTTTATGGTTAAATTCCTGTACGAGTCTTCAAAATCGACCATAACCACGTCTCTGTGTTCGTGGGATTCGCGGAGAAGTCTTCTGAAATCTTGCAACTTAGAGTTTTTATTATACCCAAATAAGAAAATGTGTTTGAGCCTCACCGTGACGTTGGCCCGGGGCCATGAGTTCGTCTCGGCCGCCTTGATCCAGGTACGGCGAATCGCCTCCCGCATTTCACGGTGATCAATCACTGACGGGATGACCACCAACAGAAAGGGGGTTTCTTGGCAGACGGACTCTCCGGTGATTAAAAATGAGAACGAATGGTTCACGGGATGAATGGACGGTTTAATCTCAAAGAAACTTTTATTTTCCATGAGATACGCCTCTTGGGGAATCGGAATAAATAACTTGTGATCTGTCGACGTTTTGGTGATGTTTCTAAAAAGTCGAGACACATTATGATTATACACTCGTGGAACAAGGTAGTAGTCGGGGTAGCTTTTGTTTTCAGAAATCATATTTGGCTCGATGGGCCGCTCTCCCTTCTGGATGCGGGTCAGCTCACGAGTAATCATCCCATCTCTTGCTGCGTCACCAATGTCGTGGTTCACCTCGGCCACGAGTCCAGCGCTTCCTTGAACCCTTTCAAGACTCGTAAGTTTGAAGTTTCCCACCTTACGGATTTCCACAGCTGGTTTAAGAGCCGACCCGATTTCTGAACGTTCCGGCGTCGGTTTGCGAATGCTGATGGCGTAGATGAGGCAGACTATTGTCAGCGGTAAAATTACGTCAAGAGTTCGGCGGAAACACGCACAACTAGGTCTGCGCCTAACGTTTCTCAATTCAAATCCTGAAAACAAACAGAAAAGGAGGGGAGGGGACACGAGGTATTTCATTAGTCTTTTATAGGAAAATAGTAAAAGAAAAAAATCCTACAAACCATAGCCATACCTATTTGGCCAAAAATTGTCTTTTTTAAAAAATATATCTCAAGATACATTGATTCTCAAATTCAAATTACATACCAACCTTTTCAGCCTGAAAAGTTACGTCTGATGTCTCATAGAATTTCAGTGGGTCTATTAATTGAGTTTCCTTAGCAGTAGTGTAGGAAAGGGGGGGGTTGGAGGGGGGGCATTTCTCTTCCTTATAAGGAGGGGTGGCATTTTCGGCCAGCCTCGGTATTATTTGTTGTGGAAAAAGGGAAGATTGGACCGACCCAGGGGGCACTAACCTTAGCTATGCAAGGGGGCACTAACCTTAGCTATGCAAGGGGGCACTAACCTTAGCTATGCAAGGGGGCACTAACCTTAGCTATGCAAGGGGTCACTAACCTTAGCTATGCAAGGGGGCACTAACCTTAGCTATGCAAGGGGGCACTAACCTTAGCTATGCAAGGGTGCACTATTCTTAGCTATGCAACTGATTCATGGCACTTAGCTATGCAAGGGGTCACTAACCTTAGCTATGCAAGGGGGCACTAACCTTAGCTATGCAAGGGGGCACTAACCTTAGCTATGCAAGGGGGCACTAATCTTAGCTATGCAACTGATCCATGGCAAGCAGGATTTTAAAAACTCGTCGTTAGACAACTTAAGATGTTTTCTTTTATAAAGATGAGCTCGGTCTAAACTGACAGGTTTTCATTGTTCCTCTACTAGCAAATCTGTGCAATTCATCTGGTCAGGACTATGACATGTCATAAATAAAGGTGGTCCATTTTCAAAGCAATGGGAGACAATTTAAGATGGACATTATTATTATTTTTTAAAAATAACTTTAAAATAGAAATTCCAATAGCTTTCCCAGACAGTTAGGTATCTAGTTCTTCATTACTGAATGATTGTATCTAGTTCTTCAGTACTGAATGATTGCATATAGTTCTTCAGTACTGAATGATTGTATCTAGTTCTTCAGTACTGAATGATTGTATCTAGTATTCAGTACTTGAATGACTGTATCTAGTTCTTCAGTACTGAATGATTGTACCCAGTTCTTCAGTACTGAATGATTGAATGATCCTTTAAATGGACACGCAAACAGTGGCACGGGCCATTGCAGAAATGGATACAAAGGACAAGAGAACCCAAATCGTAAACATATATAGGGGACTCCAATGCAGCGGTGTAGCAAAGGCTGGTGCCGCCGCCTTACACGAACACCATAACAACTCTGCTTTCTGTCGTAAATGCCACACCCCTCCCCCCCCCCCACAATATAAAGAAAACATGCCACCTTTAGTCGGACCGCCCCTCTACCCCTTCCTACACCAATGTTCCGATGGTTAATCATATCATTAAAATGTTTCATCCCCTTCAATCAAACAACCCCCCCCCCC